ATTTTTGGGTACCTTCTCTAAAAAGCAGCAAGCAATAAGATAAATCTTTGGTAGATCCCATGGGTGCATATCTATAGAGATATAAACTGATAACTTCTCATGTAAAAATGAGGCTTTTTACATATAACTAGGTGACCATACATCTTGACTTGCCCAGGACAGATCCAGTTTGGATAATAAATTATTTGGCTAACTTAAATATAGAGAACTAACATTGACATTTTGCCTAAAGCTGTGAGGAATTCTTTTTCCTGTGATCATAATATTACTGAGGGGTAGGGAAATGTGATCTTGGCATCTGAAGTACAAATTTTCTGTGTTTAACAAACATTGATTACATACTTACTGTGTGCTGGGCACTGAGTTAAGAACTGTGAGTGCAATCTGAACAGAACAGAATGGTCTCAGCTCTCATAATTTTTTAAAACCATAGTATTAATGGAGAGATACTTTATGTATTACTAGGATTTATCAGATGAGGCAAGAAAAACTGAGTGATGCACATATTTGTTTCCATAGTGTCTTAGTCTGTTTGCACTGCTGTAACAAAACACCTTAGACTGAGTAACATATAAACAACAGACATTTATTTATTATATTTCTGGAAGCTGAGAAGTCCAAGATCAAGGCACCAGCAATGTCTGGTGAAGGCTTGCTTTCTCATAGATGATGTGTCCTTGCATGGTCAAAAGAGAGAACTCCACCCTCATGACTTAATTGTCTCCGAAAAGACCTCACCTCTTAATACGATCACACTGGGGATTAAGTTTCAACAAAGGAATTTGGGGGAACACAAACATTCTGATCATAGCACACAGGAAAATTCATTCTTAGTTTCAAGCAACCAACTAACTTAAACATGAACTTTTGGAAAATGGAACAAAGTCTATTTCATCATACCAAGTTGCCTTCTAATCTTCTAAAGTCATCCACAGTGTAGGAATAGCATGAACAAAGGCCTGGTAACCGGGAACAAATAGAGTGTGTAGGATGTTAAGGAATGTTGACATTGACGAACAGTAAGTAGAAAAAAAAGGGGATATTTCTTGTTCATACAAAATTATGAAGGACTGGTGTATGACTCTAAGGTCCATCCATCTTGTCCAGAATAGAATATTCTGTGAATGGCTTCTATTCCCAAAATTACAGGTGGTCCATTCATGATCATCCATGGCTGTTCCTGATTTTAGCCATGATCACATTCCAGACATCAGGAGGAGAGAAAAGAAGGCTAAAAGTCATGCCTTTTGACCTTTTTTCTGATTTCATTTAGTGACTATTCCCAGAAGTTACATATGCCACTTCTGCTTACATTCTCCTGACCAGAATGTCATCATGTGGTCACATGGTTATACCTAGATGGAAGGATGGCTTTCGTGGGACACCAAGTTTATAAAAAGAAAACAGATTTTAGGGGACATCTTGCAGTTTTCCCCACAAAGCAGTTTTTTAGCCACCAAAATATCTTTGGTACACCCTCCTTCCTATATGAAGCATAACCATTGACTCTTGGTCATATGCTACTGTTCTAGGTTTTAGTTCTGTATAAAAATCTCCAAATCCAATCCATTTGAATATGGCTCAAAACCCAGGCTGTTGGGTTAATGCACAATCCCTTTCATGTCTATCCCTGAATAGCAGTAGTCTTTGCAGCCTACTTTCTGCTGGTACAGTGTGGGCATGAGATTTGTTCTGCAGGTCGCTCACAAGGTTTTAGGCCAACTTTGTGGTTTCTTCAGCAATTCAACACTGCCCCTTACCCTCCCCGCAAACTATTAGGCTTCTAATCATCTATAGACAAGCTCATGTGCACAGCCAAAGATCACATCTAGGCTCTAGCTGCAGGCCCGAGGACTAGTTTTTTATTCCTTGACTCTATGCCTCAACATAGAGGTCTTCTAACACAATAAGCTTTCATAGGAAGGCAGCAACCTCAATCAGATCTTTGACAGCTGGGTTGGTTTTATTATGTGACAAGGAAATTAAAAAAAAATTTTATTATAAAGATGTGGGGTACATTTCAGGGTTAGGTATATAAATATTGATCATGCAGGTACCCTTGTTGATGAGGTATGCCCCTCCCTCCCCTAGCAGTCTCCCTCAACTGCCAATCCACCCTCCCCTGACAGTTTCCCACTATTGCCAAATGCTTTCTTATAGCATTATAATTGTTCAAGGTCCATTTATGAGTGAGAACATATGGAACTCTGTTCTTTGTTTCTGTGATAAATCACTGAGTATGATCGACTCCAAATCCATCCAAGTTGCTGCAAAGTCCAAATATTTGTCCTTCTTTATGGCTACATAACATTCCATTGTGAAGGATTTCTTGAAGGAAGTGCTTAAAAAAGGCTCGGAGCCACAGTCTCATCTTATAGCTACCACTTTAGAGTGCTACTATTTATGGTTTCACTTTGAGATACAGAAATAGTTGAATTCTTCCACCCTGCAAGGCCCAAAGCCCCAATTTACTAGAGTCTGAGTTAAATTGAGATGTTAAACCATCCTAGCCTTCTCCTCGTTTCCCTACTCTAAGTCAATACCACATATTTTAGGTTCTTGAAAGCAACTTAGTCCAAGTGAGTGTCAGGTGTTTCAGGATTAGGCTTAACTGCAAATTACAAAGACTCAGACGAACCCTATTTTGAAAAGCTAGACGTATATTTGCCATGTAAAAGTCTGGAGGTAGGTAGTCTGGGATTGGTATGGTACTCCATGTTGTCAGAAATTCAGACTCCTCCTGTTCTCCCTGAAACGTGGCTTTCATTCTCAGCATCATGTCAGAATTAAAGAGGACCATTCCAATGCTAGCTATTGTCTTCATTTTTGTTAACAGAGAGAAGGAAAAAAGAAGGGCAGGCTCACTTGCATGGCTCATTTCCACTTAACGTGCTTTTAGTTGGAACGTGTTCAAATGGCCCTACCCAGCTATAGGGAAGACTGGAAAATATAATTCTGATTTTGGGCAGCACATGCCTCAGTTAAAAATCAGGATTCTAGTTTTATAGAAGGAAGAAATTGGCAGTCTCTGCCACAAGCAGTTGTGCCGGTTAATTAGGAAATATATTAATATTTTATATATTTAATAATTAATATGGACAAATTAGGACATTGCGATGCTGGTATTTTGATGCATGTGACATACTCTTAACAAGGAAGCAAAAACTATCTTTAAAAAAAATCATGTTGGCCAGGCTTGGTGACTCAGCCTTGTAATCCCAGCACTTTGGGAGGCGGAGGCGAGTGGATTGCCTGAGCCCGAGAGTTTGAGACCAGCCCGGGCAGCTTGGCAAGACCTCATCTCTACAATAAATTAAAAAATTAGCCGGGCGTGGTGGCGTGTGCCTTCAGTTCTAGCTACGTAGAAGGATTGCGGAAGCCCAGCAGGTCGAGGCTGCAGTGGCTGGGAGGGTGCCACTGCCCTCCAGCCTGGGTGACAGAGTGAGACTCCTACGCAAAAACAAACAAACAAACAAACCAAGGAAAAAAAATTGTGTTGTTCCCTTGCTGCAAACACTCACAGGCTTTCTAATTGTCTCAAAGCCCCAACAGTGTCCTACAAGGCCCAATGTCATCTCCACCTCCTCCATTGCCTTTCCAACCCCATCCCAACAGACCTTCTCCTTTGGTCATCTATTCATCTACTATTGCTATTCTTCAATCTTATCAGTTAGAACCCCCCAGGGCCTTCTGGGATCTGCCCGGAGACCTCCCTGGATGTTTGCATGACTAACTACTTTGCCTCGAATTCCAAGTCTTTGCCTAGATGCTGCCACTTTTATTTAAAGTTGTAATTCTCACTCTCAATCTACCTTCTCACTATTTTTTTCCTATAGCACTTATCACCTTTTAAAAGTCTATATGTGTTGCCTATTGTGTTTACTGTTTATTTTCTGTTCTCATTAGAATGTTAGCTGCACAGGGCACATTTTTTTTTCTGCTTTGTTCATGGAAGAATTCTAAATGCCTAAAATCAGGCACATTGTAGGTGCTCATCAAATAATTTGTTAGTGGATGAATGCTTTTGTTTCAGAGCAAGAGTAAAAAGGTACAAATACTATCTTTTTCTTAGTCCTGGTATGTCATCTCACCTTGGGACTCCTCCTGGTTGTCTGAGAGGGCTACACTAGAGCTGAGACCTTGTAGCTATTTTACTCAGCATTGCAGGTGCATAACTACACCCTCACAAGGATCCTATAGGTGACATGCCTTGAGATTATTTCTCGTGGGCATGTCATTTTGGTCTTAGGAAATTTTAGTGTGTCTTGGGTATATTACTCAAGACTTCTAGGTAGCAGATCAGAGAATCCCACTTCAAACCAGTCTCATCGAAGAAAGGAAACCATGATTGCTTTGAATAGCTGACTTCAGGGGTTCAAATGTTGTCATCAGGAATCTCACTTTCTACTTCTTTCCATCTCTCATGTCTGCTTTTGCCTCTCTTGGCTTCATTCTCAAGGGTGGAGGTTTATGTTTTTTTTAAAGCTGGCGAGTCCAGAAAATAGAGCACTGCTTTCTCTTCTTCAGGACTTTTATTTGCCAATCTCTGTATCTGGGGAGCAGAGCACTTTGATTGGCTGTCCTCAGAGACACTCATTTTCCTGGAAGACTAGGTCACCTAATTATTCAGTTTCTATTTTTAAAAAAGGGCGGTGAAGGACAGACCCCTCCAAAATGCATTGTGCTTTTTCAGTAACATATTCCACGTGTAACTTTACTTGCATTTTTTAGCAAGCAGTAAAAATTAAAATACTTTGCAACAAATTAGCATTTTTTCTTCCTTAAGCAGGATTATAACAATTATAGACTTAGATTCTTAATTTTTTCTTCCTCGAGGCTCTCATCTCCGTTAATTTCTAAAGAAATTTCACATTGAGTAATTGCCATATGGTCTAGAACATGATGACAAGTCAATCATGATTAATGCCCAGGCTCTATTTGTAACCCAGTAGGATTTTACCTTTTAAATTAAATAACATTCTTTATCATTCTTGGCTGAAAATGGCACAAGCAGAAGCAGAAGACCACAGAGAAGCACTGTCCCAGTTTTCCTTACCCCCCTTGACTAAAGCAATGATGGCGTCACAGTACAGCAGCCCTGATGGTGCCTTGGATGGGAATACTGTAGATGCAACTTACAAATATATTTTGAACGAAGTACCAAGGTAAGGATATAAGTTCAGCAGCTTAAACTGAATCCCGAAGGGGATGAAAGCACTTACTGAAAGTTGTCTATGTACATGAAGACACTTCTCAAAAGAAGATACACGGGCAGCCAACGACACATGAAAAAGTGCTCAGCCTCACTCATCATCAGAAAAATGCAAATCAAAACCGCATTGAGATACCATCTAACCCCAGTAAGAATGGCCATCATTAATAAAACAAACAACAACAGATGCTGGTGAGGATGCGGAGAAAAAGGAATGCTTCTACACTGCTGGTGGGAATGCAAACTTAGTGCAACCTCTTTGGAAGACAGTGTGGCGATTTCTGAAAGAACTAGAAACTGACCTTCCATATGATCCAGCAATCCCCCTGTTGGGAATATACCCGGAGGAATTCAAATCATTCTACAAAAAAGATACCTGTACATGCATGTTTGTTGCAGCTTTATTCACAATAGCCAAAACATGGAACCAACCATGCTGCCCATTGAAGCTGGACTGGATTTTTTAAAATGTGGTATATATACATAATGGAATATTATGCAGCTATAAGGAAGGACAAACATATGGACTTGCATTTAGAATCTGTCATACTCAGTTATCTATCACAGAAACAAAAAACTGAGTATCATACGTTCTCACTCATAAGCAGACCTTGAACAATTATCATAATACTATAAGAAAGAGATTGGCAGCAGTGGGAAACTGCTAGGGGTGGGGGTGAGATTGGCAGTTGAGGGAAACTGCCAGGGGAGGGAGGGGCAGATCTCATCAACAAGGGTACCTGCATAGTGAACATTTGTATACTTGACCCTGAACCGTACCCCACATATTTAAAATAATTAATAAATAAATAAAGGCATCTTTCACAATTAAAAAAAAAGGAAATTGTCTATGTAAATGTTCATTCAGACTTTGGTAGAGGTGAGGTAAAAAAATAACTTGGCGATATGATGAGGTATGAAGGTTGTTGCCTGGAGTAGAGTCTTTGAATTTTTTCCACTTAGAAAGAAAAAGAGACGCAATAAACACAAATTATCTCTGGGATCTGACTTGACCAGGTAGCATAACAATACACAATGAAGGCTGGCGATATTTGCCATGTGCCAGTCACCATGCTTAGCGTTTAACCTACATTCTATCCATTTTGTTCTCAAAGCAACCCTGGGGAGAATATAAGGCAGATAGCGTTCTAGACAGCTCCGTTGTACCCACGAAGAAACAAAGACTAAGAGAGGCTTGTCAACTTGACTAAGCTCACACAGCTAGTAAGTAGAGAAGGTGACCCAAATGGATTTCACTCCACAGCACCTAGGAGACGGCAGGGAGGGGTGTGTTTCCTGTGTATTTTCTTTGTTAGAAAGTGAAAGAACTAAAAGGTATTTGTCAGGTGTTGATAAACCATTGCTGGCTAAATGTGACACTGATGGTCTTTATGTTAAATAGAAAATAGAGACAATAAGAGCCACCACAGAACTTATTTATAAAATTAAGGGATGCCCTGAATTAGACTGTAGAACATAGAAATGGTAAGTCATATTGTTTCCTAGAACAGTTTGCGTGTGTGTGATTGTGTGTGTGTGTGTGTGTGTGTGTGTGCGTGCGTGTGTGTGTGTGTGTGTGTGTGTGTGTGTGTGTGTGTGGTGTGTTTTGGAGTGGGGGAAAGCGAGTCACCAGGTTAAGATGAAAGCAAGTCCTGGACTTTCCACTGGCCTCTGCTTGCCCGTCCCTCCGTGCTATAAGTGCATGTTAGCAGTGCAGAGCCTTTACGCCGTGCACTCACCAGATGGCTAGATGGATTTCAGAACATGAATTTCCTTTATGTTATATTGCAGGGACGTAAGTCACTCAAGATTGCTTTCTTCCCAATAATGCAATGCAAACATTTCTAAATAGAATTTTAAAACTATTCCTTTATACAAATGCCAGTTCTAGTATACTGTGTCTTTGCTCCTATTTTTATTGCCTTCAGAATTTATCTCTTCTCTTTCCCAACTTTCTACTTCAAAATGGTAACGTATTCCCTTTTTGTTCTATTTTTGTTCATTTTTAGCTACTTGATGTTGTTCTGGTAGCGCTAAATGTACTTTCGCTTAGTCTGTGTCTTTCTGCTTTTTTCTTGTTTTGTTTCTTTGAAACTGAGTCTCTTTAACTCCGGCTTTATTTGTCCTTTTTATTATATGTCAGTCTTTCTTCTCGTGTGACACTTTCCTACCACCTGCTTTTTCAGTAGTTTTTGTTTCAATGTGTCTCTTCTGTTTCCCTGTCTGAATCCTAACTTCTTTTCTGTCATGGTTGCCTGTTACCATCACCTTTGATTATGACGTACGTAGAAGATGAAGTAACCCTCTTTTTGGCAACTGAACGGGAAGTCAAAGACAGTGCCCAAAGGTCTTTTACTTTCATGAAAAAGAAAACAATGCGTTTCAACCCGAAGGGGATCAAGTTCATAAAGGCTAATGGTAATTTAAGATCCGTTGGCATTAATATGATTATCAGAGAGAGGCAATTTTCTCTATGAGTAAAGACATTTCCCCCCTGATTGAGGTTAAAACTTCTCTTGTCTCTTTCTTGTTTTTCTTGCCACCTTTCTACTACCATCTTCGTGGTCTTTTTATGAGAAATAATTACTAAAATATAGTCAATTTGTTTTTCCGTTGCTTATATCACAGAGGTTGCACTTTCCTTTACTAATTAACACATTGCACTTTTTACGAAATATGCCCATTATATATGAAATCCATTGAAATAACCATACAGTGACCAGTCACTTTATTTTCTAGTTATTATCTGATGCTATTAATTTACCTTTTATTCCACTTACATTATGCATTCTTCTTTCCTCTCTTTCTTGTGTTCTTTCTTTCCATGTGTTTCTTCTGCTGTCACTCCACCAGGATGCTACCTCCAGAAGAAAACTTAAGACCAACGTGGTAATGTGTTCCCCGAGTTGTGGCAAAGAAGGTCTGATTCTCTCATTTTATGACGTTGGAGGACAGATGACTGGAAAAGTCTAGCCTCCCTCCTGTGACTGCTTGCCAGAAAGGGGCCTGGGAGGAAACTTCTCCTGCCGAATGTGCTCTGATGTATTCGCAGGTGATCCAGAGCAGGGCATCAGCCTTTGAGACAGAGATGGCAGAATTGGAGCTTTATTAGTAACAGTATCCAGACGCAGTTCCACCATATTCATAGCAGTTTCCTCTGGTGCTGAAGTGGAAGATTTCCAATTTCCAATTGCATTTTACAATGAAGAGAATGTTGTCAACAATTAATATCTCTTTCTATCCCACATATACGGTTGTTTTAAATGATTTTTAGCTGCTGATTCCCTACGGAATGTAATTTCATAATTTGTGTCATGGAAAGTTACAGTATTTTTTATCTTGCTGGCAGTTCAGTGTATTACTAACAGTTTTTGGAGGAGGTAAATTACTTTCTGTGTATTCAATGAGAACTTAAATCAGTTTTCAAAAAGTGAAAGCCAACAATTTGTTGTGGTTAAAGATTATCTAGTCTACTTCTTCACAGACAAATCTTGCTTTCAAGGATACTAAACACCTCATCTAGCCAGTCACCTTTAAATGTCATTTTACTTATCTTGGGTGATTTACTTGGAATCAGTCTTAGGTCCTTTTTTAAATATAAACATTTGGATGTATCACCTTTTCTTGAGACAGTTTTCGTTTAGTAACTTCGTCATTCCAAACATGAGCTGTTGGGTCTCATCGTGAGCTGGGTGGCAGAGGGGAGTGGAGGGAGACAGTCACGGTGGGTAAAGACATTGGTTCTCACCAGGACTTGTTGTTCTCACTGTGAGGTGTTGTTCTTACCATGAGCTGGCTGGCAGAGGGAAGTGGAGGGGACCACCACCTTGGGTGAAGCAGGCAACACTGCCACTTCTTCTGGTTTGTTGCCAAAAACCTGTACTTTCTCCAGTTCATTTTTTTCAGTTTTTTTTCTTCAAGGCTTTAAAAAAAGTCTATACATCTAAATATTAATATATTAAATTATTACCTTTCAAAAAAATTAAAAGACTAGATCACTGTTTGTTTTTGAAAATGTAAATTTCTTCTGGGAAAGTGATATGTAACATCTATAATCTCCTTCAGTTTTAGGTTTAAGATGTGCCTTATTTTTATTTCTTTGTACTTTTGCACAAGCAGACACTTCTTTTTTTCTTTGAGTGGAATGATTTGTGTCCCTTATCCTGTACTCAGATAGGTCCTTACAAATTTTAGAAGTTGTTCTTGTACAGTATTTCCTTCCCCTGCAAAAAAGTAAACAAACTTAATTTAACAAACACTTATTGAATATCTTGTATGTGGTATATATATAGTTAGCACATAATGCATTAGTTATTAGTCAATCACTGAGTTACAAGTAAAAATTTGACATGCATTATGAAATAATCTGAAATTGCTCTGCAACTGGGAAACACTTGCTAGAATTATATTTTCTTCTGGCATTGGAAACAAAATCTGTGGGAAATTGCCTACTTTTATTATTATTGCTTTTATTATTCACTTTCTGTGATGTCTTAAATTACATCTTATCAGAGACTCTAGCAATTGTAGAAAGTTATTTTCATTTTTGGAAGTTATTGTTTAAGGAAAAGGCAATCAATTTAATGAAACCTTTGTGTTTTATGTGTTCCAAAGATCTTATAAAACTTTACATTCACCAAACAAATGTGGGATTTTTTTTTTTTCTTGATTGCATTCCAGTATTTTTTGAATTGGTGATTTCTTATTGAACATACTTATGGTCATTTGCCTTTATGATTATATTTTCTTATTTGTATATATTCCAATTGCAGAGTTTAATTGTCATTAAAAAGGCAATACAATAAAGATAAATTTTACAAATGATAATATTTTTTAAAAACTATACCTCTTCTGGAAGGTTTAAATGCCATAAGAAGATAAAGCAAGAAATATATGCTTGTCAAATATACAGTATCAATAAATAATTTAGATGAAAATGGTTGACTACATTTA